TGGCTGGCAAGCCACTCCCACTCGGTCACATGGCTGGCAAGCCACTCCCACTCAGTCACACGGCCAGCAAGCCACTCCCACAAAGCAGGGCATACCTACATAAGAGGTTCTAAAAATTTTTGAAACCCACCACTGATCAGTCCCAAGCGATGTAGCCCCAAATGATGAAGTCAGATATGTCAGACTTCAACTCCCATCCACTCCTAGCTAGCCTAAGTTTGTGAGTCAAACATATCTATAAGGGTTCTGATTGAAGCAAGGATAACATTCTTTGCGTGTTTTTCTTTTTTGCTGAAGAAATGTGGCACTTTCTTTGTTGCTGCAGAGCAAAAGGAGTGTCAAGCATATCAAAGTAACTTAGACAAGATGTTGTGTTGTTTACAGATAAGAGCAAAATGGTGCTCTTCCTTCCCGTACAAGAAATTGAACTGTGCCTCTGTGCTGGGAATTGGGCAGGTTTCCTCACTATTCCTTGATTCAGTCTTGGGAACATTATTGGGTTTATCATTCTTTCATATAATGCAGCTAAGGAACTGCATTTTGGCTAATGTCAACAAACTAAGCAATGATTGGACTTCTAGGAGTTGAATCAGGGGTGAAATTCAGCAGGTTCTGACAGGTAGTTCGGAGAACCGACAAATACCACCTCTGGCTGGCCCCAGAGTAGGGTGCAGAGGTGGTATTCAGCCAGTTCTGACAGGTTCTAGAGAACTGGTAGTGGGAAATTTTGAGTAGTTCAGAGGGCCGGCAAATAGGCTAGCCGTACCCCAACTGCTTCCCAGCGGATCTTCTTTTGTTGCCCTGAACAGGAGAATGGAGCTGGAAAGCAGGTTTAGTGGGGTGGGGAGGGAATGGGGATTTTGCAGTATCCTTCCCCTGCCATGCCCACCAAGCCACACCCACAGAACTGGTAGTAAAAAAAATTCAACCCCACCATTGGTTGGGTGGAAATGGAGATTTTGCAATATTTTTCCCACAGGAGTGGGGCGCGAATGGAGATTTTGCAGTATCCTCCTTCCCCTGCCATGCCCACCAAGACACGGACACAGAACTGATAGTAACAAAATTTGAATTTCACCACTGAGTTGAATGTCAGATCACTAAGAAATCCCAGAGCAGTAGACTAGATTTTTGAGATTAAAAAAAACCTTTTGAGAGAAAGCACTGGCAAAACATTTCCATTTTGTTTCTAAGCAAGCTACACTGATGTAGCCATCAAACCCCAAACAATTAACATTTATCTTTTTATATTCATAAAAATGGACTATGGGAAGCCTTCGTTGAATCTCCTACTTCGACTGGTTTGAAGGTTCTTTTGCAGTAACTGTTTTTAGAATATGGTAGAAAAAGTCAGAATGGTAGTGCTGACAGGGCAGTCAAATTTTGCTGTGTGTGTGTGTGTGTGTGTGTGTGTGTGTGTNTGGGGGCGATATGCTGACTCTGTAAACCGCTTAGAGAGGGCTGAAAGCCCTATGAAGCGGTATATAAGTCTAGCTGCTATTGCTATAGCTGCTATTGTGGACATAAATCAAGGACTACCTGTAAACTCTTCAAGAGCTATAATGCAAGCCATCTATCCAGTTTAAGCACAGTATTAAATAAGAGGCATATTGGCTATTGTCTGCATCATTTCAAAGTCTCTTTTTAGCCCTATTGTTTCTTTCTTTCCCACATCTCTTTCCTTGTTAGATGGTCATTGTTTACCCGAATGGGATGGAATCATTTGCTGGCCAGCAAGTCTCCCAGGTAAAAAAGTAGCGGTTCTTTGTCCAGACTACATCTATGATTTCAACCATCATGGTAAGTTTGTTATCATAGTTTCCCTCAAAAAATCTATAACTGTGATGGCAAACCTATGGCATGGGTGCCAGAAGTGGCATGAAGAGCCATCTCTCTGGGCATGCCAGCTATCGCAAGGTTGCTCTTCCGGGTTCTGGAGCACCAGCCAACCAGTTTTTGTGTGCGCAGGAGTGTCAGAAGCTTGAAGAGCAGCTCCCTGGCACACATGTGCATGCCGTGAAGGTGAGCTTCTGGTTTCCAGCGTGTGCATGCGCACCAGCCAACTGGTCTTTGCATGGGCATGCGCACCAGAAACTGGAATACCAGGTGACTGGAATGCATGCGCACACTGGAACAGGAAGCTCACCTTCCCAGCACGTGCACACGTGCAGGAGAACTGCTCTTCCAGTTTCGGGTGCTCTCCTGCCTGCCCACACCCTCCTGTTTCAGCATTGCTGAAAAGGTTCGCTAACAATAGTCTATAAGATGTTTTGGCTGTTTGAAGATTTAAATTGCATGTTTAAATTTAGCATCCAAATGTTTAAAAAGTGGGTCTGAAACTGAAATTATAAAAGGCAGGAAATAAGATTTTGAATATTTTCCTGTTATGGTCTTAAAGAAAAAGGCATCCCCTGAGAATGTTTTTGGAACAATCATTTACATAGGATGCCAATCAATTTTTTTAAAAATGTAAAGTGAATATGATACTATGGATAAGGCACTGAGCCAGGACTGGGGAAATTCAGCTTCAGGTCCATCTTGGTTTGGTTTGGTTTGGAGTCAGCCCAACTCATATACTTGTTACTACAGGGAGAACTTAGATAAATATAAATACATAATGCTATTATGAGCTTCTGGAATAAAGGCAGACTATAAAGGTAATAAATTATTCTGGTTGCTTTCAGATACTGGAAGAAATTCAATCTATAACAGAGCATTAACACCATGTAATGATGAATGAATTTATGTCTCTTATATCAGCGGTCTCCAATCCCTGGGCTATGGCCCACTACCAGGCCATGGCCTATTTGCAACTAAACTGCGCAAACTGGGCTGGTGTGCACATGTGTACACCACTCAATTTGTGCAAGTAGACCTGTACTTCCATGTGCATATATGCCAAGCCGCTTCTTGCGTGGCCCGGTTCACCTCTCCTCCCCCGCCAGACCACCAAGCCGCAAAGATTGAGGACCGTTGTCTTTTATGACATAGGTAAAAAGGGTCAGTTTCATTCATTCAGTTGCATGTACTATCTTGACATATACACTCCTATGGTTGTTCTACATCAGTCCCAGGGGTGGGTTCCTGCCAGTTCTAACCTCTTCTATAGAAGAAGTTCCACAAAACTACAGTGCCGTTTAGAACCGGTTCCAGCTCCTTCCACCCACCCATCTGCACATCATCAAGATGAGGAGCAAGAGGAGGAATTCTGGGAGTTGAAGTCCACAAGTCTTAAAGCTGTCAAGTTTGAACATCCCTGTTTTTTTTCCCTAAAGGGTTAGGGGTGCAAGGGTCTTGAAACTTGACAGCTTTAAGACTTG